CAATGCAGATAGAGATGTGACACAAGGTTTTCATACAAGTGACTACCTGAACCATCCATTGCCCCCTTTAAATCTGCATAGGATCCGAGACAGTGCTCGTTGCTACAGCGCGTTCGAAGGATATCCTGGATTTTAGGGATTTCGTGCAAATGAAAAAGGACGTTCCCACTCTCTGTCAGGTCGTAAAGTATCTCGTTGATGTACTCTTCGGTTACCGATACCGAAGCCATTTCACTGATTGAGTTCTGAAAGAGAATGAACTCAATATACAGAGACATTTACTTATTATATGACTCGAAGGTGAAATCACTTACATCACTTACATCAGCCTCGACGATACTATTGGGGCTGGTGGCGCGTTTCTGTCTAGGAATGGTTCGCTTGAAGGAGAGCTTTACTCCACGAGAATCGAGACGGACTGCCACCCGATCGTGTTCGATGGTACATGGAGGCAAAGACCCACTCTGAACATTCTGCTTCCCATTATGTGTTGGGTGGAATAGGACAAACACATTGGCGATCACCTCTCTTGCACTAATATCCTCAATGAACGCGAGAGATCTGATCATGTTGGCCACTTTCGTGATATAGGGGATGGACGCCGTACATACTTTTTCATAAAAGCGATGTTCGATCTTCTCTCTGAAACAGCAAATAGGTATGGTATGTGGGTTCTATAGAGAAGTTATTAAGAATAATGTGTTTCATAAACATTTGGATCAAAACGTATTTCTATTCATATAATACAAAAATTTTTCGAATAAATTCACTAGCCTGCTTGCCCATTATGAGTAAGTCTCCATTCTGAAAGTCCGCTACAGAGTTTGAACAAAGTTTCCAGTTGTAATGAAAATTGTGCGCAGTCCTACAGTAATCTATTGAGAAGGAAAGGTTTCCAGGAAGCAAACAGACTCGATAGTCATGCAGATCAATGTGGCAGTCATGATTGTGTGTGTGTGTTTGTAGCTGTTCTGGACAAATTAGGAAATTTTACCTTTTGTTCAGCCCATTCAGGTGCATGTTCCGCCCTCGCGTTTGGAGTTCCCATGTACACTGTTGATCTTGCTCTAGGCCCCAACCATCCCAAACTTGACGTAAGCTGCCCAGACCATAAATGTTGTTTGGCGAGGCCATTCGCAGCCACACTACTGCTGATGGAGCGCATGGGCTCCAACTGCCACCTGAGCGAATACACAGCGTAATTTCTGCATCGGGCAACTCGTCTGAACCACCCATTGATTTACGACCAGCTATCGACCTGATTGGAGTTGTTTCGCACTTAGAAGCTGCCCAAAGACGGCTAAAAGACTAGTAGACTCTTCGATTATCCTAATCAATCGAGTAGCAAGTGAGGGAATCGTAAGTAGTCTTAGAAGTCATAAAATTCACTCGTCCCTTTAGCAAACTATCTTCTTCTCCTTGGCATTTAACCCGCGTCTGCTGTTCGTATCAGCCGTCTCCACTACTTTCTCTCTACTGCATCTCCGCCGTTATTTCTGCTACAAACTCGCCACCTCTTTTTTGAGACTCCTCGTGGTCGTTTGCTCTGAGCATTGAACTCTATTGCATATTATCATATCATCGGATGATTTTGCGATCTTCGAAGCGCATGCACTGACCATCGCACACGTCAGAGCACTCACACGAACAGCCCGTGTTAGGTGTTTGCATGAACGCCC